AAAATGTCACTAGTGACTTATAAGAAGCAAAAACCAAATTAAAGGCCAATTTCTTTTCCTACCAAATTATTATCTATGAGTGTAAAAGAAAGCACCTAGGCAAGACCAAGGGTGAGACAATTTTATTTGTCTTACTGACAGTGAAAGTCTAATTAGACTGACAAATCTTCTGTGCTATTTTCCTTTGTGATATACACTGTAAGGAAGGATTTAGCCTGGAGCTGCACGTTATGGAAAAACATTAATCAAGATTATTGGACCCTCAACAGAAAACACAGTTAGAAGGCTGAAAAAGCCTAATGGTTAAAAAGAAAGGTTGAGAACCTTATTCTAAGCCATGCCAATGGGCTGGATTCTCCATATAGACAATGGGCAGATTGCCTCTTCTACTCTCTAGAGAGATCAGTCTGCACATAATAAATTATGAACTGTCATTCTATGGCTCTAAGATCATAGCTGAAAACATCCACAAGTAATTTATTCTTGTCACCTACAAGCCACGGTTTGAACAGTTTGGCAAGTGTCATTTTCCCCATCTCAAGAAGTTGAGGCATGCCCTGGAGATGTAACAGAGCACACAGTTTGGTTCCTCAGGGAGAGCATGAGTCCATCTGTCCACCCAGAAGGGTTCTGATGTCTTTTTCACAGAAAACTGTTTTGATCTTGGGTCCTCAGCCATCCATGCAATAGGCCAGACATATTAGGGAACTGTTCTAGGGCATCCAGAAGATTACATGGTTCTCCACTTGGATTTGATGAACTGAGTGTGTTTTGAATGGAAGATGTGCATCACGATGAATGATCTCTAGGCTAGCTTTAGTAATTAACTTGGCACAAAGTGTTTGGAAACTGAATGACCCAGCTGTAAATGAAGGCAGAATGTGCCACATAAAAGCATATGGAGAGTCTCCTAAAAAGCTTTGAACAGCAACTCATAAAAGAGAATTCTGACCACACAAGCAGCTGCCATGGAAGCAGAAGACAAAAGAATGAGTGTCCCTTTAACCTGTTTTCACAGAGGTCTCCCAAACCAAAAGAACCCTTAAGTACTTCATTAATATCTGAAGTTATTCTTTAGATCAGCAAACAGGGACATGTGGGATTCCAGGACCTCTAACTAATGAAGTAACCCTGTGAGAAGCATGACAGCCTTGCAAGAATGCAGTGTGGCTCACCACAGTGACTTTCATCCAGAAGCAGTCTGCATGGCATCTTACTGTACCACACACAAAAGCTAGCAGCTTGTCTTCAAGGCCTTTGTGGCTAACGTGGCAAAGCAGAAGTCTCAGAGAGGATATTATTATCACAGGAAAGTCTGATGTGTCAGGGCCCTGAGAGGCAGCAAGAAATTAGTACAGCACATGCCACTCCTGAACAGACAGTACTTAAATCTAGGACAAAACCATGTGTGAGAAAGTCAAATCAGTGCTTCTTTTTGGGGCAGCGGAGCACAAGCACCATTTGCAAGTCACTGAAACAAACAAAAGTTGAAACTTCTTTTTCTCCCTTATTGTCAGCTAGCAAAAAAAGGTCAGCTCTTGTTACTTCTCTGAATCACAAAAACATTCCCAGCGGAATAGCATACAACCATATATCTCAACTGTTTCTCACTCAAATCCTAGCTGTCCTCCATTGATTTGAGTTTTACTGCCTTGCAGAAATTTAGTATAAATTTATGGACATTTTAAACGCTAATTTCAGTGCCACTGGGTATTTCCAGAAATATTTTTCTCTCAATTCCCTTTATCTTGGTTGTTTGTCCAAAATGATATCTGGGATCTTCAAAAGCTGAAGCATATCATTGTTCTGAACATGTACTGTGTATTTCTAAACCTCTTCATTTTCCCAGCTGTTTTTTTCTAACTGTGCCCTAAAATACTTCTGTCAGTACTCAGACTACCTAACTGCAGGAGGTGTCTTGGTGTGTGTTACAGAAGATATCTCTGCACTTACCATGCTCTTCAGTAGTTTCTTAACAAGTGATATGTGAATCTAAGTCCTTCTGAAATTCCCCTGGATTTTGTAGCACTTGGTGACTACAGACTTAATATTCAGCACAAGTTAACATGCATTTCCAAAAGGATTAGTTTAACTTACATATGAAAATGAGTAATACAAGTAGTACTGCTACTCCTAACAGAGTAAGAATAGTAATTCTATATCATAATTCATGCTATTTTGCTTCACTTTTATTTGTTAGCATGCTTGGTATTTCTACAATTGGCCAGAACTGTTCTGTGCCAAGTAACGTGCATGTGCAGGATAAAATGTACATTTTGAACCCAAAGAGTCTGCAATCTTAGCATAAAACAATATATCACACATGAATACAGAAACATGGATAATAAAGTGAAAAAATGCAACAACATTGACTGACTTGATAAACAGTTGTGTTAGACCATCATCAGCTTAACTTTTTGACAACTTTTTGGAATGCACCATGATAACAGAAGAATCTCAGTGGGACTGGAAAAATAACCTGCTGTTGCCTTTTGTATGGTATCAGGAAGCTGAAAGTTTCCTGTGATCAAATCTAAGAAGTGAGCAGAAAGTACTTGAATCATGCTGATCGGAATTGGAAGAGGCTAAACAGCTTTGAAAGCGAAGAAAAACTGCTTATTTCTGAGCAGAAAAGAGAAGAGAAAGCTGGAACAAGGTAATAACTAACTGTATTTGTACCTCTCATAGCCTTAGGTATCTATATTTTATATTTCCCAAAGAGTAAACTTGTTCTATTAGATTTTTCTACCACTTAGATCTAAAATTGTAAGCAGGCTTGACGATGGTAATGTTGAACACGAGCAAGATAAAATAACCATTAGGCACATGAAAAACTGTGGCTGAAGATACTGCCCAAACAGGAAAAGACAATTTTTTCTCACTTTCACCACACAGATACTGTAACTTAAGCAGACAGAATCAAATTCCACCAAAAATAAGGAAGAAAGCCAAGCTATCTGTGCTGCGACAGCAATAAAATGGCCCAATATTGAAATGCAGAAAGTTGCAATGGTGTTACATATTGACCTTTATTTTTCTTTCAGCGGGTAGCATGAAGTGTCTAAGAGTTATTGCTTTAATATCAGCTGAGATGAGGCCATTTGTTGTGGTGCATGTGTATCCAGGAAATCGCTGCCCTAACCATGTTTTTAGAAGTGCTTTGACACTTTATTAAATCTTCTTGATGCTCTTTCAGCACACAGTGGTCTCTGTAGGCTGAGTGAACTGCCACGTAGGCGAGGCAGGAAGCTTTCAAAAAGAGTTCCTTTTCAGGCAAGCCAGCATCATTTCCAGCCTGACCCAGCCCATAAAGGTCCAGTGCTCCTTTCTGTCTGCTGGCATAGCTAAACACAGCTCTGCTGCCCTTAAAAATTATAGAGGGCAGGATAAGAACCACAGACTTCATAGTTCTGGAGATGCAACTGTACAAATATTTCCTCTAAAATTAGAACTCGTCACTGAGGAGAAGGAACTGTAATTCTTGCAAAGTTTATGACAAACAGTGGCCAAACCTGGGATAATTTCCCCTCATTTGAGGAAAGGCTGAGACTTTACAAAACCATCTACCGGGCATTTGAGGCTAATAACGCAATTAATCCCAGTCCTGCTGCCATCTGGATTTACAGAGTACCAAAGCAGGCACTGTTAAACTTCAGCTTGGAATCAATTACTCCAATAGTTGTAAATTCCACTGCAGCCAGGTGTACCTCACAGGATCACAGAACAGCCGTGGTTGGAAAGGACCTTTGGAGGTCATCTAGTCCAAACCTCTGTTTAAGTAGGTTCATGCAGAGTCAGCTGTCCAGGACTACGTGGAGATGGCTTTTGAATATTTAACAGCATGGACACACCACAACCCTTCGGGGCAACCTGCACCCATGCTCAGTTACCCTCACGTTACAAACGTTTCCCGACGATTAGAGGGAAAGCCCTGTGTTTCAGTTGGGGCCCCTTGTCTTTGGTCCTGCCAGTGGGCACCACCCTCACCTTTACACACTTCCTGCAGGTATTTGTACACACAGTTATGATCCCCCCTAAGCCTTCTCTTTTCCAGGATGAACAGTCCCAGCTCTCAGCCTTTTCTCCAAAAGAAATGCTCCAGTCCCTTACTCATTTTAGAGGCCTTTTGCTAGTCTCTCCTTTTGCTAGTAGCTCCATCTCTCTAATGGTTTCAAATCAAATTATTTCAAAACAAATGTTTCATTCTAGTTGATAAGACAATAACACGATAGCACAGTCCTGAAATAAATAATCCACAGCTCAGATTGGTTATTCACATGATTCTTTTCTTTGCACAAAAGAGAGCCAATTGAAGGTGTTTATTTCTAATCAGTACCATATTCTGACTGCCACAGAAGTGGTTCCAAAACCACTGTTTTTTAAGGGTTGAAATAACTAATTTGGCACAATTAAGTCAGACAACGTGAAATTAATTTTTTTTTTATTTAGGAATGATTTTTAACCAACAGATTGGAACTGCTCTATGTTGGAACATATAAATATTGCAAGAAACTGATCTTGATAGTGTTCCTTCAAAGTTCTCTGCAGGAAGACTATAAAAGGGAAATAAAAAATGACTCCAACTGGAAGTAATGCTCCATTGCTTGTCTCCTCATTATGAACTTCACTATTGCAGCAGTTCATCCTGTCATAATAATAAATAACCATACACCCACCCTCCATTAAGCCATGCATATCTCTTCGGAATACATTTCTCCACATATGGAACTTTTGAAACACAGTTAAAACCTTGCTCTTGTTCACATTGTGACAATCTCACATAAATCAGCACTAGATCAGGAGCAAAATCCATTCCTATTCTTACACATATGTGCACAACAATTCAGCCAGCTGTTTGTCCTGTGTCCAACACAGGAGAACAGCATTTTTAAAATAAAGAGTTACATGGAGCATTATTCAGAGTACATAGCTCCTGTGACCTTAGAAATAAGCAGCAAGATGAATTAATTGAAGAAAAAGGAGAAGATTAACTGACTCACCTGGATGCTGGGCGGTGAACGATTTTTTCGGGTGGTAGTGGTCGCCATCGTGGTTGTGGTTTCCATGACTGTAGTCGACATTTCCGGTGGCACCGATGTGGTGGGTGTTGTTCCCAAGATGGAAGGGACTTCCCCAACGAGCCGGACACTTCCATTGATTTTAATGTTGGGGTTGTTCTCTGCCGCCATGTTCAGCACTTTCAGGCCATTGTAATAGAGACCGGAGAGCTGGCCTTGGAAGAGACGCCCTCTGTCCTTCCCTCCTATGGCTATTTGCGCCTGGGTGTTGAAGATCGTTAACTGTCGTCCTAGTGAAGGGGGTGAACAACATTATTGACAGACATTTCCTTCAGTTTGCATACTACATGGAGCCCTGGCCCGAAGTGATGAATAAAGGAGAAGTAGATTCATTCTTGGGAGTGTTTATGATGACTGCAGAGAAACAGTATGGAAATGTGGTGCCTAAAAGTCATTAATAAAGATGATTAGCCTGAAAGTGTGAATGCCTGAAACTGAACCTTATACCTCTGCATCCACTCACACATCAAAATGCTGGAGGAATTTCAGAAATTGGAACCCGTTCTTTTAGGACTGGATGAATTTTAAACTACAAATAGGACTTCAGCATGTGTCTATTTTTCTATCAGTTCAGACCGCAGTATCTGTCAAGCATTAGCCGATAAATAAACCTCCTTTTGAAACGGTTAAAGCATTGGATTAACTCATAAAGCCACATTTAATAATGCAAAGGTTTCAAGGGTTGGCTCAAAACCAGTAAAACATCAGGTGAAAATGAAGTGATAGAATTGAGGAGTGTTATGACAGGATCAGTCATGATCTTTCACCTGTAAACTTTGTGTTGTGAAGGCTTGCAAACCTTAACCCAAGAAAGAACAAACACAAATGTTTCTGATGTCTCTGAAAGAGCAAAGCTTTCGAAATAGTGAGGATAACAGTGCTTCAGACAGTTAAGCCCCAGAATGCCTTTCTCTGCTCTCACAATGAAATTCAAATGTAGGCAGGTTACGTGGTTTAGTCAAGGTCACATCTTGAGTGTTAGAAGAGGTCCAATGTCACATGTAATAAAAATATAATTATTAAAAATAAATCTAGTAACAATTGCCAATTCACCAAGTTCTGCAGGACACTTACATCACATTCAGCCTGGACTCCTCTATAAATACTGTTTATGTCCCAGGCTGCACTAGGTTGACCATGTTAAGAAATAAATTGCTTCATGAAGTGCAAAGGCAGTGCCTATAATTTCACTTTTCCTCAAAAGATTAGGGGCATGCCACCTGAAATCTGCTGAATTAGCAGACAACCAGACTGGACATTGCTCAGAAGGGTTATCAAGTCAATCATTATTTAAATATCTTGTGCTTTCCCATTTTTATGAAGTTTGAAATATGTTTTCCAATCCCATTCCCACTCCCCAGTTCTCACTCGCCACTTTCTGTCTAGTCCAGCCTGATGAGAGGTGCAGAATGCCACAGTGTAGGAAAGCACAGCCTATGATCCACTGCTCATTCCTTCATAGCCAGTGGTTAGAGTAGATCAAAATACATGGGGGAGCTCACCAATTTTGGTCGTCGTGGCAGGTCTTGAAGTCAAGTGGTGATGCGGTGTAGCATCATCTTATGGTGACAGGATGGACCATGGGGAAGAGAATGGGGACAAGAGAAGAAATGTATCTGAAAGTAGTTCCTATCCCCAAAGAGGGCCCTAGCTATCTAAGCAACAGTATATGGAGATGTGTAACACACAGACATGAGAAGGTGGGCTGCACATCCCTTGTGCTCCTCACTCTCAGATTTGTAAATGGAAAATTAGGACTTGATCAGGGTGGAGTAACTGCATTGATGAAGAAATGAGAAATAAAAATGGGGGGTCATCCTTCCCCTGGAAAGTGTTGAAACACCTGATGCGATATTCTGCATCTCAGGAGGTTTTAAACTTGCCAGAGGCAACATATTTCTATTAGAACATCAATAAACATGCACTGAAGCCACACATCCTCAGAATGTAAATTGGGCATTTACTCTTGTCTATGACAAGAATAGGACCCAGTAACAATATCTGTTAAGGTATTCATCCTTCTCAGCCCAGCTCCTGACTGAATTAGAGGAAATAGCACCGTAGAAGGTCCAACTCCTGTTCCATACCATGTCCTCAGAGCTTGCTTTTCTTTTCTGTCATGTTGTGCTTTGGATTTCTTAAGGGATATTCTGTAAAAACTTTACTACATCATTTTCCCTTCTCTGAATATGTTCCCTCCCTCTAGCATTATAGCTCTGTCTGTATTGTCCCTGCCCCTACAAACTCAGACATGTCAGTCACTTGCTACTGTTCCCTTCTTCCACCTCACTCATTATAAGAGTGCCAAAGAGTAGAGGTAAGATGAATAAAGAAGGGACTTATGAGTAAAGGGACTTATTTCACTAATCTTGAGATATTATCCTAAAAACAGATGGAAGATAACTGTCAGTTCAGTTTTCCAATTGCATTTCCATTCATTTCTTCCCTTGAATTAATTTAGGATCTTTTTTCATCTTTTGCCAAAGGGAAGGAGGTGGAAGGTGATGAGAAAGGAAAATTTTTTGCTGCTCCAGGTAGGAGAGCTCCCCAAACAAGGACAGGAGAGGGGTTCTCTCACATTTACTGGAGGATTATTACTGATTATTCAGCTCAGGATGTCAACTATTCTAACCCAAGCTCATTGCATAGCTGTAAACATCAGTCATATCTCTTGCATTTTTTGCAAGAATGAAGAGTTAGTATATTAAGCCTGTAAAAAGGGACCATGTCTCCAATTCTGGGCCTTCATCTGCATCTTCTAATGCTGAAAGAAAGTGTACACCAAGGAGGTGACCCTATTCCAGCAAAAAAAAAACCAAAAAAAAACAAACCACAAAACAACCCCAGACCTTTGATTGTGTATTTTGGAGTCTTCACTGTTAAATGGTTTTCCAGACCAGGATTCATGCAGTTCACTATATGGTTAATGCTGAAACCACACTAAAAATTTGTTTGCTAAAAGAACAATCACTTGTTGCAGTCACCTACTACCTGCAATTCCTCATTCTTTGCTCTAAGGTGGTACACAGGATAGAGACTCCAGGGAAATGAATATGGAATGAGAAAAAATATTAGGAGAGAATATACACTTCATTCTGCCACCATATGTCTCTTCTGATCATTCTTTCAAAGGAATTCAGCTGAAGCCTTACTTCCCCTAAGTAAAATTTATTTGGCTACTGAATTTTATTGTGGATCTATTTACATTAGTAAATTCTACTAGGTGTGTAATTCAATTCTGCAGTCCTTTTTTTTTTTCTGCAGAGAATTCTTCCTACTGCTCTATTAGTGTCATACCAAAGAAAAATTATGAGAAATTGTAAAAATAAAATTTTCATAAAAATTATGAAAAAATTCTGAATAGTTTGGGCTCTTGTTTCTTTGCTCTCTCATTGACTTCTTCATTTGGAAAACGGAATTCTAATGAAAAATACCACAGAGAAATCTGCAGTGTAACTTTTCTGTAGCACTAGAAGAGATTTTGGGCCTGATTTTGCAAATCCTAATTCATACTAATAGTTCTTGCTTCAAAGTACAGTCACTTACATCAAGGAGACTTTACAGGTAAGAGAGATTTGAATAATTAAGGACTTCTGGGATCAATCCTTTTGATGAGATGCTTCTGGGTCTTTATTAGCTCATCCAATTGCAGAACAGGTAACATCTGTGCCTTAGAAGACACCAAGTATTCTGCTAAGGATTTATGACTACTGAAATTGAACAATTTAATTCTAATACTTCCTTTTATATTAACATACATAATCTCAGTGAAGTTAATAGCATTTAATATTTTGCTTATTACTCATGCAATTCAAGACTGTAAACCTGGGCTCTTAAAATTATTTTAAACTAATTTATAGAATTTAAAAGCCCTTCAAAGCCAATAGTGAAGCCAGTGCAGAAAGATAACTTGTTATATTTGTTTTCCAAGAATGAACTATTTCATTATTATGAATAACATAGCAGTACCAAAGGAAGACCAAGTCTATAGCAGTCAAAAATGTCAATCAAAAAGCATTTCATCTTACCTCACCCAAGCCAAGAACTCACACAGGCAAGACAGCTATTCTATATGCTGGCTCTTTGATGAATCTGTTCCTCCATCCATCAGTTTGCCTTGTTTCATTTTGATAGGAAACTACCCTTTCACTCACCATCTTTATAAAGTCTTCTGACATAAGGTTTCCATTTTACATTAATTGTTAGATGGATGAGCAGGCTGGTGAACAGCCACACAAATTACTCATTCTTATGTATTTTTTTAAAATTTGAGTGATATTTAACTTGCTGAAAATGTCTGTCTACTTTGGAAAGAAGGAATCAAGTCATACTGTCTCAGGTGTTGCACTGCACAACGTTATTCCCTGACAAATAGTGGAAGGACACTGAATTTCCTTTCACTTTAGTAGAAACATAGCTCTATCCTTCTAGCTAACCACATCCAGTGCCTTGAGAGTGCCTGAAGATTCAAATATTGTCTCTTTCAAACTCTAGTGCATGTGTGATTGTCTTTTAACAAAGCATCAATATCCACAAAAGGTAGACTTCAGTTCAAAACTTCAGGATGGATTACAAATGGAAGTGTCTTGGCATGCTTTTAAGCTCAAACTTTTAGAAGCTGTGACATAAAGTAAAAGATTTTGTGGAAAACCAAAAGGGAAAAAAAAAACCAAACAAAAAATCAACGAACCCACAACCAAACCAAAAGAAAAAATGATGGGTTTCTCAAGCACATGAATTGCATCAAGGACTTAGACATGCATCTGTTTTAACAAAATTGAGGCAATCATTGTCTTTAGTGTTAAAGGGACTTTAGCAATTCAGACTTACCAAAATTATTCTCTTTTTAGTGTTAAACTTTATTTATCTACTTTAGTTTGATCATGTAAATTAATAGGGCAAACCACTGAGACTCAATAAGCATTTTCTGTTTATTGTTATCTTAAAATTTATTTACAGTTTAGCTGAATTAACTGTTTATGATATACTCTTGGTAAAAAAAAAAAATAAATTCTGTTTGCATTACACAAATATTTTGCCTTACTTTCATTAATACTTTAGCTTCAGTTTTAAACATTACACCTTTGTACACCAAACCTGAAAAGTGAGCAACACTGCCAGCTCTCGATGAAGTTAGCAGGAACTGAGTGTGCACAACACTTTGCAGGATCAGGCCCTCCACATGAAAATATTTTGACTGGATTTAGCCACATGCTTCCTGACCTTAATTCATACTGGATAAAGCAATTTGTTAATTCAGCTGAGGTTAGAAATTTGAAACAGAACATAAATTATATTTTTCCAGTCCTACAAGAGATTGGTTTTCCTTCCTGGAAAATGCATTAACAACCATAGTCTAAATCAGCACAGAAAATGCAAGATCTGAGTTCAAAGGTCACCCCTTTTATTAGCAGTACTTTCATAAATGGAAACAAGAGAAGATTGTGTTCTGCTTTGTCTAGATTTCAAGGCAAAGAGTTAGTTACAGTGCCTTTTTTTTTTTTTTGTCAATACCACATTTAGTAATGGAGGGAGAAGATCTTCCTAAACTCACTGTAATACCAAAAGCCTAGTTCCAACCCTACTGAAATCAGCAACTTATTCTGTTACTTTCAACAGGCTTTAAAATGAGTTCTAGATCCAAGTTTTTTTCCTCTCCAAATTCCTTAAAAAAAAAATAAATTACAGTTCTGACACAAGTCCCATTTCAAAAGGTCGTGGGCTGTATGCAGAACTTTCACTCAAGCCATCTGGACTTATTTATGTTAACAAGTTTTTTTTTTTGAACTGAGGCCAATTACTCCAGGCAAGCCCACAAAATTAAGTGGCACTGCCTTAGACTAAGAACTCGATCCGTATTTTAGACAAGTATCATTTGAGTGTTCAAACTGTACTCCAGACATAGCATAAAAGCAACAGAACAATCATTTTCTCTGTCTCCCTCACTGTAATTTAAATGAAAATGTTAAAAAATGTTTTCTGTACAACATTTTTTAAAATCATTTAATTATCTTAATACAATTAGGAAATACATAGCCATAGTGGCTAATCAGACTCATGAGAAAAAAAAACAAACAACTTAAAGGAAGTGGTTTAACAAGTAGATTAGAAAATCTTTGAAGAAAACTTCAATAATAAAGATATAAATGTAGCTCAAGCCCAAATTAAAGTAGGAAAATCATGCAGTGGTTAAATTGCCATAATACATGTTGTTGCTCTTCACTCTTCTTCATTTGGCTTTTTTTTTTTAAATAATCTCCTGAATTTTTGCTTGTTTGTCATTACTATTATAGCAAGCTTAGAATTTCGTCCCTTTAACTGCATTTTAATAGCAATGTATTATAGCATGATTTATCAACATATGGCAGGTGGAAGCTGACACAAATTATAATGAAAATTAAAACAGTCATTTATGCAGCAGGCGATTATCATTTAAGAAACATTTATTTGCAGGCTTTAAAAATGAGAGTTTAGAATCAAATGGGTTTAAAATGAAAGTTTTAATGACTGTTACCTTTTTCCTGCAGCCACTCCTCTACAGGCCGGTTATATTTGAAGGGGATTTTCTGTTTTACCATTTGGAACCGTTCACTATCAGTGTTGCCTTTAAAGTTTAAAAAACAGCTTAAAAACAATCTGCAAAGTCAATGAAATAGTTAAAACATCCCAGATTTTTTTGGGTTTTTTATGACCTTATTTAGCTATAGATAAATAAGTGTGCATGTGTGTACATATATATATATTTGAAAAGAGAGAGATTTATCTTTAGTAGAGTGGAGAATAGTTATACATCCAATTGTCTGAGGTTCTGGAAGGTCAAAGAAATTAAATCCTACAAAAAAGATAACTCAGATTCTCCTCAGAGTATTTGTTTATCCAAATTGGTTGGAAGGCATGTGCAATTTGTCTGCGACGTGAGACGTTGTGTGAACTCAGTGCCATGAGCTAAAACATTTTGAGCAGACTCTGGATCTGATTGAATATGGACATGGCACAATATGTCAGTCACGTAAACACACAATTAGTAGCAATTTGATAAACCTTCTTGCACTGGTAAAAGAAATGTGTCAGGACTAGAAACCCATTAAACAAAAAAAAAAAACAACAAAAAAAAAGGAAGGACGAAAATATAAGAAATTGATGACAAAAGGATGTAATAGAATTAGTTTAAAAAAACCCAAATACCTAAGAATGGAAAGATAAACAGGAAAAAAGAGAAGTAAAAATTGAAAAGAGGAAGAACTGTTAATTAATGATACATGAAGACTTCTGTTCAGTTACCAAAGACTTGGGCCTGTTGCCAGAATAAAACAAAAACTTAGAAATTAATTTAAATTAAAAGCAGAAATAATTAGCCAAAATGTAAATTCTGGCAATTAGATTTCCATTGTTCCACATTGACTGATAATAGAATTGTCCATTAAAGTGTGCTTTGGTGGAAAGCTCCTATTACTTGCACAGCACAGGGAGGAACAGGATTCACACAAAGCTTCTGTCCTAATTCCCTAGCTACTGGAAAATTGTACAGGTCAGATGGAACCTCTAGTAGAAAGGAGCAGCTCAGTTTGATGGTGCTAGGAATGACAGTGAACAAATGCCATCATTCTGCTTTTTCATTTTCTTCAGCTAGAGTCACTTCATGATGAATTCTAATTTTTGCTTCAAGTATTATTTTTACAAAAACTCTTCAGTCAGACAAGCATAAGTGCATTTTTTACAGGAAACATTATAATATTGTAGGAAAAAGGATTAAGCCCACAACTTACTGAAGTAATGCTACCATAAGCAGAAGTTGAGTAGATCAGCTGTGCTTCAGTATGTGTTTTGAATAAACGGTGGTCCAAGTCAGCAACTGCTCTGCACAATTTACAGTATTGACTTTAAAGTCCCATAAATATCACCACATATAAATATTCTAATGGGGCTTCATATTTATTTGACTTTCTGAAACAGATGCTGTAATCTTTCTTCAATGAAAAAAAAACCGATAACTCAAAACTACGTCACAAAAGTCCAGCCAGTCAAGAGCAGGATGTTGCATCTTGCAGGGAATATGACTGGTGAATCTCATGAGTCTGATCAACTGCATAGCTGCTGCTCAGAAATGCTGCCAGTCTATCTGAGGCACCTGCTGACCACAGCTGCGCTCCCCAGCAGCATCCTGCAACTGCTGACTTCCTGCAGCATGTGAGAGGCACTATAGCAACACACCAGATAGAGTCCCACAAGGATTCAGGTGACCTAATCTTAAGGAGCATTTGTAAAAATTGTCATCTAGATTGCTGCAAGCTCAGCTGTAAGGAAAACAGCAATTTGCATTTGGGTTATTATCTCCAGCTATAACGATGAACATTTAGGAGCCTTGCTGCTTTTTTGGGGTACCAGGTAAAAAGAAGAAGCAAAAGCATTTAAGAGCAACTTTACTGGCTCAGTTACTTACTACCTTCCTGAAAAGTCAGATGACTTTTTACCTTCCATATAACATTAATTGTGGGAAACTGCTATTCCCCATTGTAGAAATATCTAATTAAGCACCAGCTGACACACATTATTGCTCCAGTTTCTCTGCTGCACCTCAGATGCCTGCCATATACAATTGGTTACTCAGATAAACTAGAAGGAAAAGATAAAAATTGAAAACACTCTCTCAGTCATTTGTCAAGTCATATTTAACAATGTACTGTGGTGACCTGGAGTCACTCACAGACATGAAGTTACCTTTAAGTGCATTTCCAGCTCCCATAATTCTTATCAGCACCACCAAAAACTCAGTTCTGTACATCTATGAATACATTCCTAAACAGAGAATTTGAACCATCTTCAATGGAGGAACAAAGAAAAAAAATTGATAAAGAGGAGCTAAGTTAATATAAACAAGAAAAACAAAGAAAAAACTCTACCTAAAGCTAAAGAGACAGTAATATTAACAAAACAACGTCATTTTATCTTTTTATTAATAATAAACTGAAGACTAATGTAATCTGAGGTCATGCAGACCTCTTTTTCCAATTTCTTAACCCAAATGACAGCTTCCTTTCCTGCAAGTTCTGCCGTTCATTTAAGCCTAGGGGAGGCTTACACTCACAGGACAGGGAAGCTGACCCATTGGTTTGGGGAGAACAGAAACAAAATTAAATCAAGCTCACTACAAAAATAATTTATTTTTTAAGATCAATTAGTAAGACATTCAGCTTAAACCTTTTCTCAACACACTAATCCATGTCCACCAAAACAGCTAAATCTCATAAATGAAATTATAAAAATTCTGCATCACCATTAGGATTTTTTTTGTTTAGGTGCAGTGTGCCTAATTTTTTTTTCTTTTTTTTTTCTTTTTTGTATGTAAGGGAAGAGTACTAGGTTCTGAAAAATCCTCAGGAGGGATTTCAATGCCAGTTAAGAACCTAAATTTCTCTCTCAGCTCAGACTTGAACACTTACAAAGATGCTGCTACTACATCCATGCCACATGTGATAGGGATAGACACGGATGCGGTAGTGTGGAATGAGAAATGGGGTTATTTCCCACTTTAGAGAGCACATTCTGAGCTAGGACTACTGTTTAACTGAGTGCATTGATATTATAACGTCGATGGGCAGGCACATTTTCTGTAGCCCCAAAGAAATTGTATAACACTATTTACAAGCACCAAGAAACTCCACTGTCTTCATCCAGTATCTGTGTGCATGTAAGTAACCTTTTATTGGTGGCAATGAGATCTTTTTCAGAATGAAGAGGGTTCAGAGGAACACTAGAGTCAGCCAGGGGCTGGCATGAAGTGCTTCTTCCTCTGTGTGAAAGGCTGACTGCAGAAAGGGAAAAAATGTGGTGAATTGAAATTCCTCAGAAACAGGGCATCTGACAAGAACAGGACAATAAGACTAGGGTAAAAAAAAAAGAAACTGGGACAATCAAAAAAGATATGACAATGAAAAATGGGTTTCTTATAGCTCTAGACCTTCAAGAAAGCCAGAAATGACAACTATTCCCCACCACATCTTTAAAAACTTTTTTTTTAAATGAGGTTTAATTTAATTTTATCATGTTATTATGCAGATATATTCAGCAAGATTAAAATCCATATAAAAATCATACCTTTAAAAGCAATGAAAACTTGAAGGGCATTAGAAAATTCAAATAGGTTTATATTGCAACATTAGTATCTGATCTATTCTTTTTTGGTTTGTTTTAAAATTTTTATTTCAGACATAACTAAGATTGATTTTTAAAAACATGTGCATGAGAATGTGTTCACTCATATCACCAATTACAACAGTGGGCTAAAGAACAACTTTTTCATTGTTAAGTGCTTAGAATAGTCATTAAATATAACCAATAGAACCACACAATTATTAAACTAATACTGACTTGGAGTTATGCTTTAAAAAATAAGCACAACATTTGATATGAGAGCTCAAAAAGGAAATATCATGGTTGGCAACACGAAGTAACGCAAGTTCAGCATGAAGAAAGCTTATTGAACCTCTGACAGCTGAGGCACGATGTGATTAAAGGTGCTTCTCATCCATCTTCATACACAGAAATTTTCAGTAACAATCCTTCTGTGACCTCAATGCAATTTCTTTCTATAGTTGAATGATACACACATTCAAACACCTCTTTAATGTAACTAATCTTCTCTTTTTTCCTTTTGATCCAGGCTGTTCTTCAGAACAGAATACACAGGATAGAATGATTTATATTTATTTCAGAAAATACTCCTAATCGCATAATTCTTCTGCATTCAGAATCAATGTGGGTCTCAAAGATTGCAGGATATAAATTTTTATAGTAAAATTTTATTGATTAGTTTTGCTACTTGTGATTTACTAAATAATTTCCTCCCATACTTTCTAGCTGCTTAAGTGATTCAAGTACCAATAGGAAAGGCTCCTTTTAAATAAGTGTCCTCTTTTTTCTTTCAGCCACATAATAAATTTCTGTATATTGATACAACTTAGATCTGCTCAACAACTTAACTTCTTCTAAAGAACTGTGCCTCATAAACAAATTATTTTTCCTATTTTTTTTCCTTTTTCATACAAAAATTCTAAAGCCAACTGTGAAGACTAGGATTAAAAGAAGTCTTTTTTTGCTACTTAGGGCTTATATGCACGATAGAAATTCCACTGCATGTCCTAAGTTTTTCAACAAACTCATAAGCAATCAGACTTTTGTGACCTCAAGGATTTTAATGGTAACATTGTGAACTTTTCTACATTCTTGAATCTTGGTTAACCTAAATATTCAAAATATTTCAAATACCACAGATGCTCCTGAGGACCAAATACTTTGGAGAGGAATATGGCAGAAGTGCTCTATGTTTTTGGGTTTTGTTTGGATTGTCCCTCTTTTTCCAAAGGAAATGTGGAATCCAGTCAAAAAAGTAAGAGCCTACTGGTTAAGTATGATTAGTTGCCAGCATTCTGTCTTTTTTCTGAAGCCCTTGGAATCCCTTCTCCACAGACTATACTGATAAATAGATCAGATTAACTTTGAACTTTAGCTTTTGATAATTTCAATTTAGACCAAACTAAAATGGAGGGAAAAAAAAAATCAAGATGATTTGCTTGTACTAATCACTACTGGCAGTTCCCACAGGAA